CTTCTCTATTAGGTTTAGGTCTTCTCAGCAATCTGCAGGAAGATGTAGGGATGGCATGGCAACTAAAATGACCCTCAGTTTAGGATTTTAAAATAAAGTCACCAAAAACAAAAGTCACTTAACAAACATCAAAATGTTTTTCTCAACCCATTAGAAAAGTGTCTAGAAGAAAAAATCGAGTTAAATAAGCATTCTTAAATGGCATTAGAAATTAGCAATTATCATTTTAATGGTTCATACTTTGGGGTTTAGATAATTAAAGTGATAAGAAATAAATACTTCTTACATTTAGCAAGAAAGTATTCTTTTCAATTTTTTATTTACATTTACATTAAATGTGGAAGTGGATCCGAATCACGGGGCGGATATGCTCTTTATTTTTCCCTCATTGAAATGGCCTTGGTGTAAGTCTCTGCAAGTGCCCTTCTAGCAAAAGTGAAAGACTCTCTGACCCTGAAAAATCCCTCGGTAAAGAAAAATCAATGTGCGGTTTCACTTTTAATAAGTTATGTCCACACTACAGTAATGTAATGTCCCAAGCAAATATAGCTTCATTTTAAATAAATAGTGCAGGATAAGAAAATCAACACCACTCTCATGGCTGTATGGTTCATATGAAGCAACTGCCAGCAGCAGGAAGTTAATTTACTAAGGTGAAACAGCTATTCATGCTCTCCAATGGTATCAACATTGGAATACCAGCATTTCTAGAGCTTACTAATTATCATTTTATACAGAAATTGTTATATGTGTGCAACACATTTATAAAAAATTGCAGTGTTATTAATGGTTATGTACTAGACCATTTCTTGGCTGGGCACAGAGATTAAGTCGAGTTGAAATTGTGTGGATAATCCAGCATGCACTGGTGCAGACATGTCTAATCAAACAAAAATAATTGTGCTAAATAGACCCTAGAAGCAAAGTATGTGATAGTACACTGAATTACGCTGAGACGGCAGAACACAACAAAGTGGATTTGTCTTGTTGTGTTTTCAGGGACAGATCGAATCACAGAAAATGTACAAATGCCCCTCTCGTGCCTCTTAAATCTATCTGGTAAGATCTTGTTCTGTCACAGTGAGGTGTTTATAGACATAAGGGTTAGAAGGAAAAGGTTGCATTTGAGTGCTGTGTGTGTTGTGGTGTGGATTGATCCTCCAGCTCTGCACACACTCAAACGTACCCAGAAGGCCTCCTGAAGCAAACTGTCAGGTGTTTTTTCTTCCCACGCTTGGAGTAAACACTTGATTTGAAAAAGCCGAGTGCAGATGAAAACATGTTTTGCAGAATGTAATTGAAGGCAGCTGATATTGCAATCTGTGTTAATCGCATGGTGTGATTTTGACACGGTTTTAATGCAAACACCGTAGCTGTGCAGCACTGTTTTGCTGGTTTGTTTAATGGCTGCCTTGCATGCTTCTTTGCTTCGTGCACACCTGTACAATGTCAGCTGGTGTTGTGAGTTTGAGCCTTCCGACATAAAGCCATGCAGTGTTGTGTAAAGCAGCTGGCAGATTACAGAGCAGCTCCTGGCAGATATTGTAGCAGTTTATCTCAATTTAACATCGTAAATGGGCTGTGGACAATGAAACTGTACACAAACTGTGATGATCCTCCCGTGGACCTGGCAGTCGATGATGGTCTATGAATATATCAGCGCAGAGAAGTTCTCTTTTATCATCCTTTTTTTCTTGACCAACAGACCCATTGATAATGTTTCACATTTGTAATCCTGCACTGTTACCTGAAAACGACATCCACACACAATGAAATGCCTCAACTAACGATGTATTATCTATGAAATACTAAATGTTGCTCCATTTATCATTTTGGTCATTAAATTGTTTTCAGCCTCTCAAATATGGATAATTCCTGTGTAACTCAAAAGGTGCTTACTTTGTCAGACCAACAGTAATCCAAAGATCATTTGTTTACTAAATGAATGAATACATTGAAATGATGAAATGGAGCTAAAACATTTAGTAAATTAATAGATTAAACTAATTTGCACTAACACATATGTGGCACTAAAAAAATAGTGCTCTGGATGAAATTCACTTCAGGAATCACTGCAACAATCTATCCCACATTTAGAGGAGGATCTAAAAATCACATCCTCACTCTCTTTTACAAGAGTGCTCTCTTCCTGTTTGCAGTGTGCACCATCTGTCAGTATTTGTTACCCATCCACGTGCCAGCATACAGCAGCCCTGTATGACAGGGCCGAGAAGCCCCATGTTGAGAGGAGACAAAGACTTAAATGAGAGCTAGTCACCGCATGGTCACCCCTCTTAGCCTCCGGTGACAGAATTACTCATCGCCAAGGCAGTGGTGCTGAGGCATACATGTACAGTATGACACATGATGAGAGGAAAAGGTCACAAAGTCAAAAAGTGAGATGCTTCCAGAATCGGCTGCATGCAGTCAATGGTTTCAATGAGTGGCATTCCCATCATGCCTTATTTCAACAGGGAGTGTAATGGAGCTGATCCCAGCCTATGACTTTATTTCACCTGTGTTATGGTAAACAAATCCAGTCAGTATTTTGGAGGATTAGTGTCCACATAATTCTTCGTCATCAAGTACTGTCACTTAATCGGCTCAGTATTTGCTTTCATTTCAAGCTTTTTGCAAGTCTGGTGCTTTGAATTGTCCCTTTTTAAATACCTTCAACCACTGCCTGGTTATGAATGACTTTTTCAAAAAGGATTTTCCATGCTTGTGTGTGTTTGTTTGAACGCCTGTGTGTTAGTGTGTGTGACAGATACAAACAGTCCGAGATAAATCCTGGTGCTTATAGCTTGGAATGTTTGGGCCATAAATTGAGGGATATATATATATATATATATATAATCAAGGGAATGTGCATCCGTGATGGCCAAATCGATTTAATTTAGAACTTATCAAAAGCAGCTCTTACAGTGGCAGCAAATAAGAAAGATGCACAGAAGGGATGGCGGTTCAAGGAGCCTTGGCCACTTTACACTTCTGCTTTATTCAGGGATTTGAACGGAGCATTTGACAGCGCAAATGTTTCATCCTTTTTGTGTCAAGTATAATTACTTATATTCAGATCTTTGCAGGAAGTATTAGCAATGTCTTAGACATCAATATATTTGCCTAAATCCAGCCAAATACCTCCTTACATGAGGTCTGCTTCATAGCTGTGAATTTACAGTGATTCCGCAGAATTCTTGTGCTATGTTGGATTTTTTAGAATGCATCAGATGAGTAAATATATTCAGGAGTTTGGTGTTTTATTGGTCTGAATGACTCACCTAGTATAGAGCCAGGATTTCCTAGGAATAAAAAAATGACCTTGGTTTAACATGGTCTTTATATTCTACTTTGCTTTATTATTGCCGGATCGCAGTGAAGTAACGATCAAGTTGCACGGTTGTTGGTTTTGGTTATGCATTCAATATGCACCCCCACATATAAGAAACATAGGAATGTGGTTACACCTAAATGCAAATACAAGAGCAGTAGGGTAGCAGGAGAACATTAAATAGCTGAAATCAGGCAGTAGTGCTGCTGGGCCTATTATTGGGGTATGCAAATAAAGAGTGTGACAAAATCACTATATGAACCTCCTACTGTTAGCTGGGATTAGTCTAGAAAATAATTTCCCATTTTAGATGGTCACTGTTACAAAATAACTAATCAAATACCAATAAATTACTGCCTCGAGACATGGCAGACATGTATGATGCCGACCAATTAACCACAACTGTCGTGGAGTACACAGGTGATCGGAAAAGATAATTTAACCATATTCGCTGTTTGATCTGATGCCACCAACAACATTTTTTCCCCGTTCACTTTGCCATGTTAACATTTGTGCAGAAACACACACTCCGTTCCGACTAAAATGCAGCCTTAAGGAGCAGTATAGAAAATCGAACAGACCAATCGACTGTCTTAAATGATCAACCACTGTAAAAATAATTATAAATCAATCCTCAATTTGTCATCTCTAACAGCAATAATTCCATGCAACGATACATTGAATAATACTATCAAACTTGTATTCTCGTCTCTAACAAGCATTGGAGAACGTTTGCAAAGATCACCAGGACATTTGAAGGTTCCTTTCCCATCAGCCTCCTTCATCAGAGTAATCATCTTTATCTCCTTCATCACCTTCCAAACCCTTGGTCATGTTGGGGCACCCAGTCTGCCATTTTACATTATTAGTTCCGTGCCGGGGGCAATCCCCTACTATGTAGAGAATCAGAGGGAAGTGAAGGTGAGGAAGAAGGAAAGCGACGGCTCCTGCCTGCTCGTCTCTGGGGGAAGAGGAGGAGTAATCTCCGGCTCTGATTATCTTCTCATTACAATCAGACGGGAGCCACTCGAAGAAGAGGAGAATGTGTAATTACGCTCAAATCTCCCATGACTAAAACAGAGAATAATAGGCAGGGCTAGAACTGTGTGCTCACATCTAATCATTCAGTTTATTTAGTCATTTGTTCTGCAGCCACATTTGACTATGGATGAATATTTTGAACACCTGACTTAAAGCAGCATTGTTCGGAAGCCAGAAATTATTTACCTTGTTTTAAAAATTGCTTAAACCTTTTCTTTTTTATGCCTGCTTTAAAATAGACTGCTAACTAAAATTGTATAGCTCTGGTTTATCAGAAAAAACATTTGAAAGAGAACTTCAACCATACCAATAACCATGCATCGCATGTGGCTGCATCTGCACAAGATAGACAACACCCTTTACCAAAATGCAGGTTAACTGAAGCATGTAAATAACATTTCAATTGACACCTCGATTTGAATGGGAAATGGCTGCCCTCCAATTTTCCCAGAGAATGGCTGGCCGGGAGAAATGGAGGGGAATAAAATGCTTATCCAGTAGACCAGAGGGAATAAGGCTAACCAAGCATGCCAAAATCGTCCTCACTTTTGTATGATAGAGGCTTTAAGAAAAGTTCTCATGCGAAGGCAGAGCAAACAGTAATTCCATTTCTTTCCTTACCTCACAGCTTGGAGACAGCCGCCTGCCAGCCGCTCAAGACTGATGAGAGGAAAGCTGTGGACACCAGGGTGGACAGCTCGGACAGAAATGGCTGCATCAAAGGGAAAGGACGCAAACACCACAGTCATCGCAGGGCCCGGAGGTGAGTGAGAATCAATGATTTCAAAAAAGCACTTGAATACCATCAAGGAAGTTCTTCTGATCTTGAAATTCATCCCTTGAAGTTGTAGGATTGTTGATCATAATGAAACATTTCAGATGATGAATGGTTTGTGATGTTATTAGTTTTTTGGTTGATGCTTTTGTAGATATTGGCACTGATGATAAAGCAGTACACCAAAAACTCCTTGAGGGCTCGACTCTCGGTGAGAAAAACAGAGCTAATCTCTGTATTCTGGTTCGGGGAAAGTAAACAGTGTTATCAGCCCTGGCCCAGTGGAGAAATACAAACATGTTGTGAGGAATCCCACACTGTGTCATTCAGAACCTTTCTTTTCACCAGCACCTTAAACCAAAAGTCTCCTTCACACACTGAGAATAGTTTTCAGGCTTTTTTATTCTGAGGTGGGGAAAATCGATTCAGGCATTTTTCTCCTTTAAAAAGAAACCTCTCAATTAATCTGACACCTTCAAAGCCGTTGCAGTTACACACCAGGGGAGCAGACAGCGATATGTAAAACACGACGGAAGCCACATCGGAGGTGTTAGAGAGGATCATAAACATGAATCACTTCTCTTCGGATGAACTTTACCCAGCGGCTGCTTCTCTTTGTTTTTGAATTAGACAGCGAGTGCAGAGAACATACAGCCATGCGGACTTGTGATAATCATTTTTCTAGTTTGTGCGTGCAAGAAGAAACATCTGATAGAAGGAGCGCAGTGAGAAAGATTTATGGTGTTTGTTATCCTTGAAATAGAGCCTTCTTCTGCGATTTGAAGTTACACTGGAGCACTTCAGCTTTAAGTAGCAGTGAGATATGCAGAGTTGTTTTAACTTTACTGAGGAATCACAAGACATGTCTTCAGGAAAGTAGACCTGGTAACATCATTATCACCCGCCCAGCCAATGTCTTCCTATGAAAGGATATCAAGAGCATATCATAATCATATTTTAGTTACAAAAACATTCATTTAAATAGTTATTACACAGATACAATACCCTGCTTTTTTTGTACACTTTCCCATAAGCTTAATAAATATGTATCTATAATGAGGTTTCATACAGTAAAAGTGTTTTAGTCTTTTCAGAGTTTCGGCCTAGGCACTGTGCCCAACTATGTTGTGATGTTTAGTCTGATGTGTCTTAGTTGATTGATTTCTTATATTTCACCCTGAGGCCGCAAAAATCACGCATTGTTTTGTACACGTGACAAAAAAATGAATCAGAGAAAAAAGGTCTTCTTTTACATTTTGAGAATAAACTTGAACTTTCAGTCTAAGTGCCTTTTTTAGTAGATATAAATCAGAGGATGAGTATTTTCTATGTTATTTGTTTGAAAATATGGTCAAAATAAGAAAATAATAAAGTTATAATATTGAAAATAAAGTTGAAATGCTAAGAATAAACTTGACATTTCAAGATTAAAGTTAGAAAAAAGTCAAGTCAAGTTTCTTTAATCTGATATTATATAATATGATAGTAGTATACTGGATACTAGATGATCATGTACAACTGAAATCGCTGAAAGAGCTGCATTTTTTATGCATGACTATTGTCGGTTTGAAGGCAGCCTAAAAATTGTTAACTGAAGCCTACAGTACATTCAGCTGGTTGATTTTTATAATAGTCATTATCACAAAAATAATTCTTTGTATTTATTAAAGCACAACACATTAATTATTACAGAAGATGTCCTATTCAAAAAGGTCATCTTACAATAAAACAGTGAATATGTGTTATGTGATACTTTTTATGAAAAACCTTTCAATAAAATGTGTTTTAGGATGACATTTAAAGCAGAGACATTGTTGGCAGGGCTGTAGTAGAAGGCTGTTTCAGAGCCAAGGAGCCAACACAGCTTTCATCACACTTGGTTATTAACCTTGACTTTGGAATAGATAAATATCCGAAAATGCGGACCTCAGGGGAACAGAACAGGTTTGAAGTTTGGTTATATACTATCTTGCAAGAACATGCTGAGCCTTGATTTTGAATATTAGCACTTTAAAAGGAATTCTAAAACAGATTTTAGAGAATTGGGACTATACTGTTATAAATCCTCCAACTTCAATATTTTCTGACAATCACTACTTATCTAAATGGTGAACTTTGTCTATGGGACTGTCATCAAGAGCAATGGAAGGTTATTCAGTTACTGACTGTACAGTCAGGATCAAGCTTCAACAGCTACACAGAGGCATCTCTGGCTATAAACAGGGGTACACATAACTTTTTCAGAGAGTTACTCAGATGAGTACCAGGAGACAGGGTTTGGTACTCACCCCACACGAAGCGTGGTTTCAATAAATGTATTCCTCCTCACTGTCCTCCTCAGTGTCTTCCTCACTGTCCTCTATTTCCACTTCTTGCATGGTAAAGGATATTGCTGCAGATGCACCTCCCTGTCTCCATCCACAGGTCAACAGCTGGCTTTGGGTCAAATGTCTCTGTGGTCTTCTTTGACAGGTGAATGTGCATCAGGGCTGAGAGACGAGCATGTGACAGACGAGATCTATACTGGGTTTTTATTATGTTTAGATGTGAGAATCCCCTCTCACAAGCTGCACTGCTCAAATGCAGTGTAAGAGACAGTTTAAAGTGGACCTATCATGCTATATTTGAATAATATATTGTATGGCCATACCTATATAAAACATGTCTGTGAAGTTTTTTTTTCAAAATACCAAACAGATCATGCATTTTAGCCATGCCTTATTTCGCTCTATTTGCTCTTTTCCAGCCCTGTTTTTGCAAGGGCTGATTCTGTGAGAAGTCTTCTTCGCTGCTTTTGTGGCAGACTACAGTGCCACCTACAGGCCTGGCATATGTACTACAGCGTCTCCAGCGCTTTCGAACGGCAATGGCCGTGGCTGTCTCCTCCTGATAGGTGGAGAGTTGCCCATATAGGCGGAGCTCCTCGTTTCTGACGTCAGAGATATTTCAAATCTGTATCAGTCTGTATCAGATCCGTTGCAGCCCCGTTTTTAGAGATTTGGGTATGGAGGAAAAGAGAGAGGGTTGTGTTTTCTGACACTTTGTGAGTTCCCTGACACACCGGGGACACATATTCATGTATAAAAGACGTACAAAAGTGCATTTTGCATGATAGGTCCCCTTTAACTAATTTGTTGCTGCTGGATGCTGGAGTAAGCATCTGGATTACAATTTAATATTTGGTGCGAGTCATACACAGAGGAGGCAGCCAAGCGTTTTCCTGCTTGCTTTAAACACATCCATTCTCTCATAATAGTGTCTCTGTCAAGTTGCAAGGTGGCCTCATATTTCTGAAGAATGTTGCAAACGGTTGTGTTGCCAAAACTGTGAATTCCTTGCATTTCCTGAGGCCAAGTTGAAGGATCAAACACTAAGAAGTGATCACATGACTTGAGGGAGTCATATCTGATTTCAAACCCTTCAATTAACCCCCTGAGTATGTTTGTCTTGTCCCTGTCAGCATCATCATTAGAAACAGTGTGTGTCCTCCTGTAGTGGCCTTCAGCATCGAGCAGAAGTGTGAACTGTCCAATGGCCACCATGAGTTCATCCTTACATTCCCCAATGGTCAGTTTTTCCTTCTGAAACCTAATGGATGTGATCTTCAAAATGTTGCCAATGTCAAGCATGTTGGCCAGAAAACAGTGAAAACGCTCAGAGCATATATGCTTTAAGTCATTGTTATCACTTGTAGCCAGTTGCATTTTAATGGCTGGCAATAGTCTTGATATTTTTAACAGTGTTTCATGCCTCCACGCAGACCATCTGATATTGTGAAACTTACCCAGTTTCACAAAGGGGATCCCAAAGTCCGAAGTAAACTCTCCGTTGCTGGACACGGACACGATGTAAACGATCTCCTGCTCGGTTTTTGTGATGTCCTCAGATCCATCAAAAAGCAGCCCCCAAAGTTCAGCAGACTTCAACTTTAGTCTCAACTCCCCACTGATAGTTTGCGCAATGGTCTGCATAATCCGTGTCCCCCTTTCACATGAGTGATATGCGCCTCCGATATTTACTCCTAGCCGCTTCAGTAAAGGAATATCCTCAGTATAGGAAGACATAGGACGTGCATGTTTAGCTTTATGAAAGGCGAGGAGAAAAATATTACACAGGGCTTGCCATTGTTCTTCATTCAGCTTGCCTTGCCATCTAGCAAGTTGGTGGCTGGATAGTTCTTCATTAGCTTGTTTATTAGCAATAACTTGTGCCACATTAACATGCTCCTTGCTCTTTCATGTTTTTCAAACAAAGGGTGGTTGACATTTTTCGAGCCTGTATAAAACGTACCCGTTTTGTCTGCTAGATGTGGATGCGAGCGGCATATTTTGCACCACATTTCAGTGCGCTCATCATCGGCATCCAGCCACGGCACGTTTTGGAGCCACTTTTCAGAAAATAATCGTTTCTTCGGCTCTGGCTCGGTTTGTTGTTTCTTTGCAGGTGGCGAAACGCCAAAGTAGTTGCTCAGTGTTTTTTGTTTTTTCGACATGTCTACTCCATTGAATTTTTACATGAAACACGTGTAGGCCTCCACCAAATATGTTATGATTTGATCAGGTACGCAAAGGCGCGCAAAGGCGCGCAGTGACTCACGTGACGTTACGCATTCCACATTTAGGCCGCGCATGCATAGCTGCGTACCAGTTATGTGCACCCCTGGCTATAAACACATAATTAATTAATCAAAAATGACCAAGAACGAAATAAATTGTTTGTGTTTATTCATCTCCGTCTGGTAAAAAGTGGCTAATGAGGTGGATACACTTCCAAAGTCTTTGTCTCATTTACAAAGCACTGCAAGTGGCTGCCTGTGAAAACTCTCCTCTGTTGAGAAAGACATTTGTTCTTTGAATTGTTATCTTGCTAATTGGCCAGAAGCCGCCTTATTTAGCAGAGCAACCAATGTTAATTATAACATGAAACAGAACCAACTGACAGCAGCTCCCTTATAGACACTATAAGTTAGCTACAGTGTTTCAGAAAGC